AAAATAAATCCTCAAAAATCAAACATTTCTATAGAACAATAATGAAATCTAAAATAAAATAATAGGAAAGAAAATCTCATTCCAAGTAACTACAAAATGCATAAAGCACAAGGGACTCAATCTACCAAAGCACACAAAATACTTCAGAATAGACTCAATTAAAAAAGTATCCCTTGAAAAAATTAAAATGTTATATAGCCAAATGAATATTCAGAGATTTTGACTCAGCCCTGCCAGTATAATAAAAATTATAGTACTACTAAAATTAAATTATACTTCGAATGTTATAACAATTGAGTTATCAAAGGGACACTTAAAAGAATTTGATAAATAACAAAATTCATTAGGAAAAAAGGACATAGAATATCAAGGGAAATGAAGAAAAGAGTTAAGGGTGAAGAGATCTCCAACTATTTTATAAAGCAGCAGTGATTAAAACCATCTGGTGTTGGTTAAAAGAAATAAAGGGGTAGATCAGTGGAACAGCTCAGACAAGGGAGAATCAGAAAAGATGGAACTGAATAAATCAGTATTTGATGAAATGGAAAACAGAAATTACTTACAAAAGTATTCCCTATGTGATAAAAAAAAACTGCTAGGAATACTGGAAAGCAATCTGGCTGAAATTAGGCTTAGAACACTTTATGTCATATTCCACTAAATGTTCTAAATAGATATATGACTTTAATATTAAAAAGCATACTATTAAAAAATTAGAAGAGAAGTAGGTCATATACCACTTAGAGCTTTGGGTAAGAGATGTATCTTTAACCAAAAAGAGAAAGAGGCAATTACAAAAGATAAAAGAGATCATTTTGATTACATATAACAGAAAGGTTCTGCATAAACAAAATTAATGCACCTAAGTCAAGAAAGGTCAAATGGGGAAAAAACTTTTGCATCAAATTTCTCTGATAAGGGTTTTAATATGACACTTAACACATGTAACAAGATCAAGAGCTATTCTCCAAAAGATAAGAGGTCAAAGGATATGTCAAAAGTCTCAAAAGAAGAACTGCAAACTATTAACAACCACATTAAAGAATGCTTCAAATCACTAGTAATAAGATAAATGTAAATCAAAACAACACTTTGGTTTCACCATACACCTTGCAAATTGGAAAGATGACAGATGATAAAAACAGTTCATCGGAGGAGCTGTGAGAAGGTAGCCACATTAGTGCACTCTTGGTAGAAATGTGAAACAATGCACTGTACAACTTGAAAAGCAATTTGGAATTATTCAAACAAAGTGACTAAAATGTCCATACTCTCTGACACTGAGCTTCCACTATCAGACATATAATCAAGGATGCCACTGATAAGCAGAAAGTAGCCAAATACACACATATATTTATAGCAGCATTCTGTGACAGCCAAAAAAAAAAATAACAGAAGCAAAGTCAATGCCTACCAAATGGAAAATGGCTAAACAAGCTATGGAATATGAATACAGTGGAATGCTACTGTGCTGTGAGAAATGGCGATGTTAATGCAGAAAAACACAGAAAGATCTACACGAACTGATGAAGAGTGAAGTAATCAGAGCTAAGAAAACAACATACACAATGACTGCAACAATATAGTACAGTAGAAAGAACCACACACACAAAAAATCAAAAATGAATGTTGCAAAGCATAAGCATGGCTTAAAAGTAGTGATATGTTAACCCCGATTGCCTCACCAAAAAAAAAAAAGCGGCATATGAGAAGATATTCCCACCCTACCCTTTTGGAGAGGCTGGAGGTCTACAAGTATTGTACATGGCAAATATTTTCAGACTTTTTTTCAATGCATTGATGGATTATGCTGATTTTTCCTTTTTCTTTTTCCTGTCTTTAAAAAATAGAATAATTCTCATGAGTAGGACTAAGTGATGTAAAAAAATACATAAAACTAAAGAGTGAAATGAAAATGAAAAGAATCCAGAATCCACCAATCACCTTCTAAAAGAAACCTAACAATGCCATTGCCAAAATCTGGAGCTCCTACATCAAAGAAAAAATACTGCAAACATCTAGGAAGGAGTGCAAGTACCAAGGAATCACAGCCAACCTCTCACACAAGATCTGGCAACTTCTACTATAAATGAGAGATCTTGGCATACGATATTCCAAAAGGCAAAAGATTAACATTACAACAAAGAATAACTTGCTCTGCAAAGTGAGTATAATTCTGCAGGAGAAAAACAAAATTTTGATGGAATAAAGGACTTCCAAATATTCCAGCTTAAAATACCAGAGGTGAATAGGAACTTCAAAATTCAAACACAAGACTCAAAGGAACCTAGAAAGGTAAACTTATTTAAGCAATAGGAAGGGGGTATATGATAAAGAAGGGCTAGTATTCTAATGGGGGAGAAAAAACAAGTATCCCATCAGAAACTTTATGTCTTCAAAGTATAGTGAAGACTCTGAGGTACCAACTCATACCCATCAGAAGAGTAAAAATGACAAAAAAGGAAAATAACAGTCCAGAAAGCAATTTGGAACTATACCCAGAAAGTTATTAGATTGCGCATTCCCTTTGACCCAGTGATACCACCACTAGATCTATACCCCAAATAGATTAAAGAAAGAGGAAAGGGATTCATATGTGCAAACACATTTATAGTGTATCTTTTTATGGTGGCAAAGAATTGGAAAACGAAGGGATACCTATCAACAGGAGAATGGCTGAACAAGTTATGACATATGTATGTGATAGGATGTTACTGCACTGTAAGAAATGATTAAGGGGATGGTTTTAGAAATACTTAAGACTTGTATAATTAACATAAAGTGAAGTGACCAGAACCAGGAGAATAATTCATACAATAGCAATACTATAAAGGCAAACAACTTCAAAAGATTTAGGAACTCTGATCAGTACAAAAGAACCAACCACATAATAGTTCCACATGTTATCCACCTCCAAATAGAGAAGAGATAGACTCAAGAGTGCAGACTGAAGCTTTTGTTTTTTCTTTTTGGACACGGCTAATGCAGGAAGTTGTTTTACATATATATACATATTTGTAATGGATTTTGTTTTTCTTGCTTTCTTAATGGCTTGGGGAAGGGAGAGAATTCAGAACTGAAAATAAAATTGAAAAAAAAATTAAGTATATTAAAAGATTTAAATAAGAAAAACCGAGAATGTGGGTGGGGTTGGTTGATCTAAAATAAATCTAAATTCCCAGACACAACATTCAAATTTTAATGGAATAAAGGACTTTCAAATATTCCAGCTTAAAAGACCAAAGCTGAATAGGAGCTTCAAAACTCAAATACAAGACTCAAAGGAACCCAGAAAGGTAATTTATTGAAGCAATAGGAAGGGGGAGTATGATAAAGAAGGGCTAGCCTTCTAATGAGAGAGATCTGTTACTCTGCAATAAATCTAAATTCCTAGACCCAACATTCAAATTTCCCCATTGAGGAGACATGCATGTAATGACGTGATATGCACATATCCCTTCCTAAAAATCACCATGGTATGCAAATTCCCACAATAAAAACCACAGGGTTTATGGGGAAAATGAGGTTGGGGCAGAACACTCAAACTCAGTCCCAGGGCCACTCACAAAAGCCACAACAGGAAGAACTGCCATAGAGAGATCCAGTCACCAATAACACCAGCTACTGCCTCACCTGGGGCATAAGTGGAATCACTCTATGACTAGGCACTGGAGATCTTTGGCCTGGCCTCTTCCAGGAGGTAACCTATGGGACAACCTTCCCTCCCTTTATCTGCCAATAACCACCCCAACCCCCAAGTGCTGGGCCCACTTCCACCAAGACAGTGCTCGGCAATTATCTCTGACAAGCTTTTCCCTGGGCAGATGGTTTGGGGGTGGCAGGGTCAAATGAGGTAGGTCATCAAAGTCTGTTCTGGAGTTGGGTGGGAAGAGCTGTTGGCGGTGTTCCCATCTTCCTTCAGTGCCCACCTCCCTCTCCAAGCCCCAACCTCTCAATCCTGAAAGTATTATATCCCTCTGCTCACTATTAATTCTCACCACCTTCTGGGTCAAGAAGCAAAACAGCTATAGCACTTTTCCCCCTTGGAGCCAGACATCTCCTCTTCCTACAGGCCCCACTGAACTTCCTGCAGGTGTCACTGCATGCTGGCTGTACCCCTCCAACACACACACACACACACACACACACACACACACACACACACACACACACACACACACGCAACCTCTGTTCACCAACTGATGCACTGGCATCATCATGATGTCTGTTCTAGGGTGGGGGCGGGGGATGCTCTGTGGGGGCTGTTTCCCCTTCCCTTCTATGCCAGCCACTCCAGTCTATCTCTTACTCTTCTGGAGTGTTACATCCCCTCCCATTAGCTTTCACCACTACAACACTTTTTCTTAGTTGGAATCAGACAGTTCTTCCCACAGGCCCCATCACATGCTGGCAGACACCTCTCTCAACCTTTCTGTAGAGCTCTCTCCCCCTCACTCATTCATTCTTGCTGTAGTTGTCCTTCATGGCAAAATTATGCATAAGCAAACACAAAATTTGTATAATCATACTGGAAAAATTCTTATTTTCAAAATAAGCATTATAGCAGAACTACCTGTACTCAAGGATCATTTAATGATAGGAAGTGATCCCTTCCTGTTCCACTACTAACAAAGTTCATTTCCCATTATTCCACTTATACATAAAATTAATCTGCTTTCTATCTTCAGGATAGGATGGATAGTGGCACCCAAGGACATTCCTTGGTTTGCTCCCACCTCTTAACTTTCATAGTTGCTCCCCACCACCCGAGATATCTTTAAATTTCCTCATGCCCTTCACAATCCATCTTTAAACTTATCTTCTTTTGGAAACTTGCACTGATTAAGCTCCACTTCACACTTCTCCACAGATCCTCAGCCTTTTCAACACCATTCAAAATACATTCTTGACATGTTTCTCTGTAAACACTTTACATGATTTAGTTGGCTTGCATCTTCACATGTTCAGTCTCCCTACCACCCCACTTCCCTATTCCTCACCATTTTGCTGTAGGGGGCTGGGCATAGTCTTAAACTGGGTTTCCATGGCATGGAGATGTACATCAAATTTCTGCATTGTTCCCTGGGCTGCTGTCTCTTTTGAAGACACTGGTCTTTTTGGTGCATTGGTGGGGACCTAAAAAAAATATATATTATTTAACCAAAACCTGTGAGGAAAAGAACACAGGAAAAGGAAAAGAAGAACAAGAATTGTATTTAATCCTTCAATATACAAGGGCAAGGCTGAGTAAGGTATCCAATTTCCTCAACTTAATATTCTTGTTCCTCTACACATCTCCAATTAACTGCCAGTTTAACAAGATCTCATTATTCCTAGAACTCCTTTCAACTCTACCCAAGGCAATCTACTTTCTATGCCCAACACATAGCTTACTTCGTTCTTTACCTCTCTGCCTCTCCACTCATACAATGCTTACAACTTGTAACACATGCCTCCCCAACCATCCTTCCAGACTCAGCTCAACACTCACCCCACATGCAATTTAAAGGATTGAACCTATGACCTTTCATATCATCATCTAATTTTTCTACTATAGAGTACTTAGCTCACAAATTATCTTTCCTTTAGCTCACCTGATCTGATTCATCTGGCTCTCTTTCCAAATCCTCCAATAGGGTCACCACCTCCTGTGGGCTTTCTGGACAATGCTTCTGAACCCAGGTTTGGAGTGTCTCAGGGAGAATGGTCAAGAATTGCTCCAACACCACCAGCTCCAGGATTTGTGCCTTTGTGTGGATGTCTGGTCTCAGCCATTCCCAACAGAGATTCTGTAGGCGAGTCAGAGCCTCTCGTGGACCAGAAACTTCACAGTAACGAAACTGCCCCAAGTTTTGGAAGATGTTCTGCTTTGGAGGGCTGCTCCCTTGAATGCTTGTGTTCTGTTCCCTTCTACAACCCTTTTTCTCCAAGTTCACTATGACAAGCTCATCCTCCGTATGGGGAACCTGGGGGCCAAGGGATATAGCTTCTCCTGACTGTACAGTTACAGTTTTCCCCCCAAATCTACTCATCTTCCAATTGAGATCTAGTTTGGAGAAATTTGTACTTGGTCTCCTCTTGTTTCTAGACACTGCTGAGCCAAAAGAAATCACTTTCAAAAATAAGAAAGGGCACTGGGAGCACTGAACATACCTCAACTTTCCTGTTACCAGGAAAATCAATCCATTTAATTCCACAAGAAGATGAGCATACTCATTTTGAAAATTTAGGGTCAGGCAAGATATTTTTCAGACTCTTATGTTACATAATCAAATGATCTGAGTCATTGATTTGCTTATAAATCACCAATAAGACTTAGTGAAAACAACCAGGATGGCCAGGAATTTAAGAAAAATACATATAACAACAATAATTTACATATATAAACAATTTTATGGCTGCTAAGCTCTTTCTACACATACCGTCATTTGATCCTCACAATGATGCTATGAAATCAATAGTGAAAATCATACTGCCCCGTTAAAGATAAAGTTGTGTCCAAGCGTCAACATGGTTAAGCAATAACAAAGCCAAGATTAAAACCCAAGTGTTTCTACGGCACTGAATAAACTAAAAAAAAAAAAGCTGCTTCAGTACTTTTGGGTCAAAGGGATGCAGGAGGGAACAGCAGTCGTAGGCTACTGATAGGTGCTGGCCGGTCTATTCCGATTCCAGTAGCCGGGATTCCTCTTAAAACACGAAACGCATGCAAGCCCCAAGACGGAAATGATGACCTGAACGCAACCTCAGCAGGAGGTCCAGGCGCAGGCACCTAGTCCACTCCACTTCCCTGCAGCAGGCTACTTTCCTATCCCCGCCTCAAGGTCCTCTCGCCCACAGCAGTCGGATGCACCAGCCTCACTGCCGGATCGCCTGCGGCAGCTAACAAGCTGTAATCAGTCAGCCCCCGTTGGCCTCCCCTCGGCCCTCCAAGGCGAGCCGCAAGCACACAGAACACCGCCCCTGCCCGAACCGGAAGTGCCCCGGCTCCTGCGCTCGCGCATCCACAGCGGAATGGACTTCCTTTGGTCCTTTTCAATTCTTCTTCAGGAAGGCGGAAGTTAACGCTTGCAGACGTAGTAGAAAGATGGTTGATACGCCCAGCACACGCTTCCAAAGGAGCGGAAATAATAGAACTGCAAAATAACCTGCAAAATCTGAGATCCGTGGAAAGAGTATCTGGCTTTTCCAAAAGTGCAAGGATGCCCTGCCTTTCGCTGTAGAAAAGGAACTAGGAAACAGAAGCCCATCTCTGCTCAAATAGCTTCTTAAAATCTTCCAACAATTAGATACATTTTCCAGTTCTTTTTAAACGCAAATAATACGCCTCAACACGCACTTATTAAGCGGTTTTTATGCATTGGAGATGCAAATAAAGGCAAAGACATTTTGCTGCTCTCAAGCAGCTCACTTTATAATGGAGGAGAGAACATATACAAGGTATATGCATGAGCTGTACAAAGTAGTTGGAAGATATCTCAGAAGAAGGCACTAGCATCTCGGGTCCCTAGAAAGGCCTCCTGGAGAAGGAGGGACACGAGCTGAGAAGGAATTGGCATTTGTGGAACCTCAAGATAAAGCTGTTCTGGTGTTCCTCGAGCTTTGTGTCTGGATTGACCCCAGTACAGTGAGATTATCACCTGGAAACGTTTAAGACTTCACAGAATCAATCATAAATCCCTACAAGTACTCCACCAAAGACTTTCTGCCATGTTGATTTTAAACATTAATAGCTATTCTGTAAGACTGCCCAGTTCTTTTTGTATTACTTTATTATATTATCATGTAAACCATATCTCTCCATCTTTTCCACAGGAAAAGCATGAGATAGCTTATTAAAAGCTTTGCTAAAATCTGGGTAAACTAGATCCACACATTGCCCTCATAGACTAATTTAGTAATCCTGTCCAAAAAAACATGAGGTCTGACATGACCTATTTTTGATGAACCTATTTTTGTAATCACTACTTCCCTAACTAACTGTTCATTAACCATCTCTTTAACAATTTGTTCTAAAATTTTCCCAGCAATCAAAGTCAAGTTTACTGGCCTATGTTTTTCAGACTTTGGTCTCCTCCTTTTAAAAAACAAAAACCAAAACAGAACATTTGACTTTCTACAATTTTGTGGCATTTTTCTAGCATTCTAAGATTATTTAAATATCATTGGCAATTAGAGTTCAGCAATTACATCTTCCAATTCTTTCAAGAACAAAGGATTTTGTTCATCTGGGCCACTCGATGTTTAGCAAGGGCAATTCAATTTTCTCCTACTATTACCTTACTTATCTTAAGTATCAATTCTCTGTAAATTATTTTTATTCTGTCACTTCCAGTGTAAGAGTTATTCTTCTTGGCAGAAAAAAAAAAAGACAAGAATTGAGAAGCTCTGCTTCATCTTTGTTGTGAGTTATCATTTCTTCTTCTCCAAAGAAAGGTCCTATCCTTTCTTTGATCTTCCTGTTACATCTAGTCTAGCAAAAAAGGAACAAAAACAAAAACCCTTTTGTTGATTATCAGAATTACTAAATTGGCATTTAGTTGTTTAGATTAAATTAGTTGTTTAATTTAGATTAGTTATTTTTACAATATAAAAAATTATAGCTTTTTATGAGTTTAGTTATTTTTCCAGTTTTAAAAAATTAATCTGTTATTTCTATTTTGTTAATGAAAAGTATTTAGAGATATGTTTCCCCCAATGAATGCTTTAAATGCATCTCAAAAGTTATATGTTTTATCACTGTTTTAATTTTCTTTGATATAACTATCTATTGTTTCTATGATGATGTGTTTTTTGACTCAGCAATCCTTTAGGATTGTCTTTTAGTAACCAACTGATTTTAATGCACTATTCAAAGGCTGTTATTGAATATAATTTTATTGTACTATTATTATTGATTATAATTGTTATTTATAAATTTTAGTGCAGTACTTTAAGAAAAGGATGCATTTGATTTTTTTTTTGGCAGTTGGGGTTAAGTGACTCACCCAGGGTCACACAGCTAGTAAGTGTCAAGTGTTTGGTCTGAGGCTGGATCTGGACTCGGGTCCTCCTGACTTTAGAGCTGGTGCTCTATCCACTGCGCCACCTAGCTGCCTCCATTTGATTTTTTAAAACATAGATAGCAAAATCAATATAGCACTGAACCTCAAGTCAGGAAGAGGAGTTTAAATCTGGTCTCAGACACTGTGTGATCATAGGCAAATCACTTAACTTCTGTTACTGCCTTGGTTTCCCAATCTGTAAAACTGGGATAATAATAGCACCTATGACCCATGTTTGTTGTGGAGATAAAATGAGATAATATTTGTAAAGTGTTTTCTTTTTTCCCCCCCTTTTTTAGTATTTTATTTTTATTTTTCCCCAGTTACATGTAAAAACAATTTTTAACATTTGTTTTTAAAACTTTCAGTTGAAAATTTTCTGCCATCCTCTCTCCCCCCCACCATTGAGAAGGCAAACAGTTTGATATAGGTTATACATATATAGTCATGCGAAATATATCCATAATAGTCATGCTGTAAATGAAAACATAAAGAAATCAAATAAAGAAAGTGAAAAATATATATACTTCAATCTGTATTTAGACACCATCAGTTCTTTCTCTGGGGATGTATAGCATTTTTCTTCATAAGTCCTTCAGAGTTGTCTTGTATCATTGTTTTGCTGAGAATAGCTAAATTGTTCACAGTTGATCATCTTACAATATTGCTTTTACTTTGTACACAGTACATTTTACTTTGCATCAGCTCATGCAAGTCTTTCCAAGTTTTTCTGAGAGTGTCCTGTTCATCATTTCTTACAGTATAATAGTATTCCATCATAACGTATATTGAACATACCACAATTTTTTCAGCCATTCCCTAATTGATGGGTATCCCCTCAATTTCTAATTCTTTGCCCCCAGAAATAAGCTGCTATAAATATTTTTGTACATATAGGTCCTTTTCCTTTTTGTTTTTTTTTTTATCTCTTTTGGGATACAGATCTAGTTAGTAGTGGTATTACTAGGTCAAAGGGTATAAATGGTTTTATAGCCATAGTTCCAAATTGCTGTACAGAATGGTTGAATGAGGGGGCAGCTAGGTGGCACAGTGGATAGAGCAGGAGTTCAAATCTGGCCTCAGACCAAACACTTGACACTTACTAGCTGTGTGACCCTGGGCAAGTCACTTAACCCCAATTGCCTAAAAAAAAAAAGAATGATTGAATGAGTGCACAACTCCACCAACAGTGTATTAATGTCTCATTTTCCCACGTGCCCTCCAACATTTGTCATTTACCTTTTATATCCTATTAGCCAATCTAATAGGTAAGAGGTGGTACCTCAGAATTGTTTCAGTTTGCATTTCTCTAGTCAGTAGTGAGTTAGAGTATTTTTCCATATGGCTATAGATAGCTTTGATTACTACATCTGAAAACTGATCATATCTTTTGATCATTTATCAATTGGGGAATGGCTCTTATTCCCACAATTTTAACTGTTTTCTATGTGTTTGAGAAATGAGGCCTTGATCAGAGAAACTTGCTTCCAATTTTTTTTCACAGTTATTATTGAAGGTTCTCCAGGACCATGGATGCTGAATAAATCTCTGAGGTCTCAAGATCAAGGCATGCAGGACTGACTTATATGGGACCAGTCTGCAGGGTGAATACCTGGTAAATATCTGGAAACTGGGAAAATAAAATTGATTCTATTTTGTTATTGATTTCATTCTGTATAGCTGCTGGCATTTCTGTTACTGCCTAAGTCATGTTTCATTTGTCTGAGTTGAGTTTGGAGATTCAGCTTTCCAGTAAATCACTCATTGTCACTGAGTTGAGTTTAGAAGGTAAGTTCTCTTGCTAACAACTGCCTCAAGAAAATGTTATCCTTGAAGGATGCAGGTGAACACCAGGGAGTCTGCCATGTTATCCAAAGAAGTCTGGTCTAATATCACTAAACTGTCTTTGCAAGTAGACTTAAACAACAAACATTTCTTAGTGGCAAGGTGAAAGGAGGGGTTGTTGCTAGCCCCTCATTCCCAATTTCCAGTCAATTATATTGTTTCCCATGCCTATGATTCTACAAACTTGGTAACATGTCACAATGTTTTCCCTATCTATGACTCTGCCTTCTATTTTGGATGCTTCTCCTTTTGTCTGTAAAAGAAAGCTATACCTCTCATTTGGAGTTTTAGCTTTTCAGAGGGGGCTAAGACCTTATTTATTGGCAAATTCATGCTTTGTCAACAAATTGTACTTAAAACTTTGCAACTTACTTTATCTTAATTTCAGTCATAATATACCCTAAGCTTCAGGTGGAACATAATCAAGTCACCTTTGGCCCTGGACTGAGTTTTGGAAATGAGGGCTCTGGATGTCTAGAAAGCTAGGGGGTTTTGTTTAGCCTCGGCACAAGTTAACCTCAGGGCAGGTTAGAACTAGCCTGGATTTGGCTAGTCCTCCAGCAAATGTCTTTCTCCTTTTCTTTCTCTTCCTGTATTTCTCCCCTCAACGCTCCCGTCATTATTAGACATAAGCAGGGAGTAAGTTGGAAAAAACTGGGGTGTCTACTTAAGAAGTTATCCTATGCACATGATGTTATGTATATTAAGATTTTGAAGTGGAAAACCTAGACAAACCATAAAAACTGCTGTAAAAAAATTACAGAAAGGGAGCTTAGAATGATGGGGAAGATTAATGAATATTCATATATAAAACAGTTCTCCCAACTATCTATAATATATTACAATTCTTTTTTTTTTTAATATTTTTCCAATTACATGTGAAAACAATTTTTAACATTCATTTTTAAAAAGTGTGTTCCCTGATCCAACCATTCTGGAGAGCAATTTGGAACTATGCCTAAAAGGCAATCAAACTGTGCATACTCTCAATTCAGCAATACCACTACTAGGTCTATATCCTAAAGAGATAATTTTTTAAAAGTACCCACATGTACAAAAATATTTAT